ATATATATGTGTGTGTGTGTGTGTGTGTGTGTGTGTGTGTTTATGGTAAAAAGTTACATAGGATGGAGATATATATATATAAATAAAATTAAATTTTTACTCCTCTCCATCTTCTTGTCCTCCTGACCTCAATCCTGTTTCCCAGAGATGACTACTGTTAAGTGTCTTTGTAGCATTTTCTGTGTAAACATATTCATGTATCTATATCCTTTATTTAAAAAAAAAACACAGATAAAGATTATTTGGCAAATTCCTGTCTACCTTGATTTTGTTTTTCATTTAATAGTCTATCTGGAGGAACTCTTGGTATCATCCCACTTTTTCCATTATGAATACACCACAATCATAATTTTCCCATTAATGAATGCTTAAACATTTCCCATGTTCCCCAATGCCATTAATGTACGGGGCATCCTTTTGTGCACAGTTTTGCACACTTCCACAAATTAATCTGTAGGATAACTTCTTCTCAGTTGTATTGATTAGTAAAAGGATATATGCATTTTGAATTTTTAAAGATAATGGCAAATTGCCTTCCAAGAGTTTGAGTTAATTTATAACAACTGACAGTCTATGAAAGTACTGCTGTTAACATATTTGGAATTCTTTAAAGGATGTGTAATTAACATTCAACATGACCTTTACTTCTAACCTTCTGATTAATTATGTAATAAATGTAATTAAGCTCTAATGAATTGTGTCATAATAAAAAGTCTAATTGGAAGTTTTCCGTCTGTGTCACTTGCTCCCACCCTCCACCCATCCTTTTTGCTTCTTATTTTGCTGTGTGTGGGGTGTGTGTATGTGTGTTTGTGTGTGTCTGTTCTGTGTATGCACATGTACCTCCCCCTCAAGCTTCTTCTTTTCCTTCTTTAAAATCTAGGCCACGCTTATCTGAGGGACTTTCTGCTGTTTCACTTTCTCTCGTGAAAGTAATTTCTCCAGAGTGGTCTTAATGGGAAAGAAACCAAAACGTACAAAAAACTCAGAGGACCCACATTTTAATGACAATTCTGCCATTAGCTAGTTAAATTATCCTGGAGAAAACACTTAAACTTCTGGGCCTCACCTTTCTAAACTGTACTACTAGTAAGAGCTCATATTTCAGTTTTATTCTATTTACTTTTACAGGAATATTGGGAGGGTTGGTCACTATTATTATGCTCATATTATTAATAAGGAAACTTACTAGCTATAGGATAACAAGCAGCTTACCAAATGTCCTAGAGCTAGTAAGCTCTGGAGTTTGGGAAATGAACTGAGGCAGTTAGAATTTAGACTTTTAATTTCTCTTCTATTCCTAAATTTTATTCTTGCTCTAACATTCTAATTAGGTATTATTTCCCTTTTTCTTTTGTGTTTTCCTTTATCTTCTGGATTTTTGTCTTATTTTATTTTGTAATAAGGATGCACTCTATTCCCAAGGAACACAAAGCTAAATACATAGAAATAAAAGGTTAGAAATAACACCTTCCTAATAAAAATAGGGAATCTGAAAAAAATTAAATTATTTTTACCTCATTTTATAAACCAAAAATTCTGTCAAAGTTAGAAAGATACCAGATTTAGGTAAGATAATTAGCAATAGTAATAACAAAAGGAAAACATGAAAACAAACCCATGCTTTTTCTACAAAATAAATTCTAGAAAGACTGTTTTATGGTGATGTTTTAGCTGATTTATTCATATGAAACAGAGCTGCATGTGTCAGGGGACTTCAGGTTAAGAATATGACATATAGAATTGATGAATTCACATTTTACTTGACACAAATCTTTTAGATCAGTGGTTCTCAACCTTCCTAATGCCGCGACCGTTTAATACAGTTCCTCATGTTGTGACCCCCAATTTCATTGTTACAAATTGAACATAATTAAAGCATAGTGATTAATCACAAAATAATATGTAATTATATATGTGTTTTCCGATGGTTTTAGGCGACCCCTGTGAAAGGGTTGTTTGACCCCCAAAGGGGTCACGACCCACAGGTTGAGAACCACTGTTTTAGATGAACTTCCTTTCTGTTCTTAATCGCCTAAACGTTTTTACTTTGATTTTCCTCCATTTTCATGAATTTTTTCCCCCAAGTTACCTTCTCCTTTTGCAGTACAATGAAGAAAACCCCCGTTATCCGATTAGAATGAGTAGAGGGAGTGTGGTGGGTGGATATGTCATTTTGATTCATGATAGTCCATGTATTTTTACCACATATATTAGCTGTTTACTGTAGCATCAATAATAATGTCGCCATCAGATATACTGCAGGAGGTAATGGGAAATGACCTAGTATGATGAAAGATACCTTATCTAACACCAGTGAGTGCATACGCTTATATGTGTGTGGGGGCCGAGAAGTGTGTAGAGGTGGGACGGGAGTCAAAGATTGGCCAGAACATATGCATTTAAACTGCTCTGTTTAGCTCAACCTTAAGGAACAGCATTAAATATTGTAATTATTGTGGATACCTACAAAGCAGCCCAAAATTAAACTGACAGACTGAACTATGAACAGTAATGAACAGGAGGCACAAGCACTGGGAGTGGAGATTGATAGAGAGGATGTGAGTTGGTAGCATAAAACCTATAATATGTTTTCCCCAGGGGGACGTAACTTTGGTTCACTAGCTGAGCATGTGATGTGTGGGGCGATGCCATCAATGAGTTGTTTATGAGGGGCTATTGAGGTATTACGGGGTGTAATGTCCCTTGTGCCCACAAGGATGGAATTGGTTTTCACCTTTTGTTTTTGAACATGAGCAATATAAGAATAAATTTCATTATAAAAATCAACACAACATAAAATAATGCCCAGTAAAAAGGAAAAGTCTTCCCCCAGCTTCTTTCCACCATTTCTACTTCTGCTTCCAGAGGTGATCTCTGTGTGCGGGTTGGGAGTGGCGGATATAGTGTACACATACAGGGATATGTTTACCGCTGTGTACAGCACTGTTTCTGATATTGGCCAAAGTATTTTCTCATCAGTGCCTTTGCACTCCTCTGTGTATGCCTTCGTATGAGGCGTCATGTGTATAGAGGGGTTAGGTATGGGAGCCAGTCTTATTTCTGTATTAGCATGATCAGAGCATCACAGATGATTATGAGACCAAAGGGGAGGAGCAGGTGAAGTTTTCCTATAAAACAGCATTCTTAAAATTTGAAATATTGATAGTAAGTAAATCAATTTCAAATAAATTTTCAAATTATTTCATCTTGGCTGGATTTAATATGATTCATAATATGCACATTTTTAATTGAATTAATTGCTGAGCAAAATAAGCATCTGGGTATTGCGTCAAATTGCAATTTATACGCCTTTAAAAAGTACTATATTAGCAGAGGGAGGCTCTTTTATGTTGATAATTATAGGCCTCTTTAAAAATGTGAATCATATTTTTGGGTTTGTATTTTATGCTTAGTTGTAGAATGATTTGATTCATTTTTGATGAATCCCATCCTAGTAAGCACTGAATAGAGTGATTTAATGACTTGATTTCTAGAATATCACACCAAAGTGGGGATAATGAAGAAAGACAAGCCCTTTGCTTACTTCATAAACAGCTCTATGCCAGGCTTTAGACTGATAGGACATGCAGAGTGTTCTGTGGAGAAGTTGACTTCATATGTAATACTGTATTAAGGTTAAAATTACTTGATCCTATTTAAATTTTTTACTTCTAAAAATGTTTGGGGATTGCCTGGCTGGCGTGGCTCAGTGGTTGAGCATTGACCTATGAACCAGGAGGTCATGGTTCTATTCCCGGTCAGGGCACATGCCCGGGTTGTGGGCTTGATCCCCGGTGGGGGGTGTGCAGGAGGCAGCCAATCAGTGATTCTCTCTCATCATTGATGTTTCTATCTCTCTCTCCCTCTCCCTTCCTCTCTGAAGTCAATAAAAAGATATTTTTAAAAGATGTCTGGGGATCTGAGATTTTCTTCTCTCATTCTCCATTTGTCTGGCAAGTGACCCCATTACTCCTGTGCCTGCAGTCGGCACCTGTACATTGATAATTCCTTGAGACGCCATCTGCAGCTCTCCTTCCTCCTGAGCACCAGACTTTGAAGGCAGCTGCCCTCTGAGGTGGCCTCTTCGCCCTGTGTCTGCAGTCTGTCCTCCTGCCCCCACGTTCTGACTTACAGAAACTAGATTAACCCTCTCAGCCATTGATGGCCCCTCTAGTTCTCTTTGGGAGTTAAACACTTGGTCGTTACTTGTGTTGGGGAGATGAAAGGCACGCCCTCACCTGCCATGTTCAGCTGGAACCCGGCATGGACAGTAACCTGGCACGGAAGTTTCTTTCAAAGATTAGAAGTCCGCAGACGTGAGGGATTTATTTTGTCCTTTCAGATAAAATGTATCAGCGAGCTCATTCCGTCTTGATGTGGTCTCTCACCAGATCAGTGTGCTTGGCAAACTTTCTGTCGAAGGGCTGGATAATAAGTATTTTAGTCTTTGTGGGCCATAAGATTTTTTGTCATAAGTACTCAGTTCTGTTGTCACAGTCAGAAATGAGTGAGTGAAACTGAGTGTGGCTCTGTTTCAGGAAAACTTTATGAGAACAACTGGCAGAATGGATTGGACCTGCACCCTGCACTAGATGATGGTTGACTGAGTTTGGGGCACTGAAGTTCTTTCTTACTATTTGCCTTCTCATTAACCATTTTCCTAAGAAGTAAGAATTGATTCTTGTTTCTTCTCTTCCGTCAACTTCGTGCCCTGTGACCATCCTGCTGCCTCACCCCTTTATATTTGGC